GAAAACCTTCCAAAGATCTCCGAACTATGTCTATTGGATGCAGCATCAATTTTAACCTATTTGAGCATATTTTGACTATCTTAGGAAAGAACAGGAAAGAGTGACAAAAAATCACCTGGCCAATTTTGAGAAGTCCTCAGTAAAACCGATTTTTCTCAGCGAAGAAAAGGAATTTTTGAGAAAACTCTTCGTAACTTTGTAGCTACGCATCTAACCAATCTAACCATGCAAAAAAAATTAGCTCTATCATCTTCAGAGAAACCTGTGATAGACTTGCAAAATTAAGTTTCGGCTTTTGAGTTTGGTTTTTGGCAAACTATTTTGTGAGCCAATGCTTTGTTCTAAAAATGGCTTGAAACCAGTTTCTTATTCAGTTTTTCATGCTCTATCAGAAAAACTAAGTTAGAAGAATCTATTTCGTAACATATTAGAAAAAAAAAGGAATCTATGAAAAGGTGAGAAATTATCTGTTTTCGACATCTTCCGAGTATTTTCAATTTTTCGACCGGAAAATAGGTTCAGGAAAACGCAAGGCATACATATTCTTGACCGCCTTGAGATTCTCTATCGAATGGTGTATAAAAATCAAAAAAAAAAATTTCACTGCAACTTTGATTTCCGTGCACCTTAATTAGATCATTATCTATAACAACTATCACAAATGCTGTTTTGCTCACGTAAATGATTCAATGTTTTCATGTATCTAAGACAAGAAATTAGTTGAAACACGTTAAATCTCGTTAAAAAACAGAAACTAATGAGTTGATGCTCGACATAGTAAAAGTAGTTCAAGAAAAACAAGCGAAAACACATTTTTTTCAAAAAAGTTTGTCGAGTTTTACTGTATTTAAAATTATAGACGTGTTAAAACTAGTGAAACTCTAAATTGTATTAGTTTGGCGGTGCGAATGAGAATTTGACTCGAATATGATCAATCTTTTCGCGTACCAATACAAACTGTTCGATTGTGAGACGGAAATCTCCTTATTCGATAGAGCATCAACTATATTGAAGTCATGAATGAGGGTGTGGGCTGGAGTGTGGATCTTACCATCACTCACATTGACACCCACACTCTGTTTTTCATGAAAGCGTTGAAAAAATATTTTTGGTACTCTTGATTAATTCTGAATCTCTTGTTACTTCAATAAGATTTTGTTTCTTTTGGAGTTAAGTCAGTTCGCATCAAATAAGCCCTTAACAGAATTGATACTCATAATTTTCGTTCGTCTATCTCAAAAATATACCAATCAATCTATATATATATTAGAGACCAATAGGATCCATGAGAATCTACAGGATGCATTCTTTTCGATTAGGATTTATAGGCTTCATACAAAGCCAGTTAAGTTCCTACAATATCCGGTTGTGAAGCCCAATTTTCTTATTTTTTTTCATAGCTTTCATCGGTTCCTGTTATTCTGTTGGACTCTATGATCCACTAATGTTTACTTTTCTCCTTTGCTGTCTTTACTTTGTTATTAAAATTTGTTGATGGTGAGGTCGATCACAAGTATAGTATCAAAATTAACTTGGTTTTCAGTGTTTACTTTTCTACTACTAAAAGCATCAAGGAACAGCAAACGGGAATGAAGAAACAAGAGCAATACTCGTACTGTAAATGTCTTATTCTCTTATTAGTCAGTATCAATCAAGAAAATAAGTTATTCTTAGTGTTTGAATACGTTGTTAATTAAGTTAAGGTCTTCACCCTGTTATGATCCGTCCAAAATTCCAACAGTATTATTATATCATTAATTTAGACACTGTAGTATCTTGAAACATTCAATGTTCTGAACCAGTGAGTGATCGATTATCTTAATTCTTTGTGAATATGGTTGTAATTGTCAATATGTGTCTTATTCTTTTCTTCAATCGCATACACACACTGTCTTTCACTGAATCACAGGAACAATGAATTAAAACTCTTATTCTAGCAATATGTAGTGTGTACTGAGGTCAACATGGTCAAAAATTCACGAAAGCATTTTCAAGATCTTAATAAGGGGCACAAAATACTAAATGTTAGAATTCATTGAGAAAAAATAACTGAAATGATCAAGACTATATAATGAGTTTATTTGTGCTTAAGCCAGATATTCATTTAAAATGAGACTTTCTAACATAATAGTTATGAGAAAAGAGTACATCATTCAACGTGACAAGTTGATCATCAGTCAACTTTTCTCGATATTTATGCCATGAACCGTGATGAGTACGACGAAAATTGGATAGACATTCTTTAATAGATTTCTAAAAACAAATCATTGTCTTTTAATACATAACAACAGCTAGAAAAGTATATTCACTTGTATCAGATCTGGGTCATGTGAATGTTCACAGAGAAGCATTAATACGTCTGGTGCATATACTGGAATATCATATGAACTCGAGAGAACAATGGTACAAAGACCCAACATACCTGAAATGATGGTATGTCACATATTTGCTCAGAACTTTTCACTATAAATATAGTATAAAAGACTAAAGGTAAGTCGAGACACTTAATATCATGATTGGTCTTTTCTCCTATGATCTCTATATTTATCAGATAGCAGTTTCAAACAATACGTCTCTTGGAAATGTTTTAAACTACAAGTCATCATTTGAAGTATTAGTAATAAATTCTTCTATTTGCAGATTCACAAACCTTGTATAGAATTAGAATCACAGTTCAAGTAGTTAACAAAGAAATTATATAACCCATATAAACATTGGACACAAAATAAAGACTTATATCTCAATCGGAAGAATTTCGGGTGTGGGTGTGGGTGCAGGTGTGGGTGCAGGTGTGGGGGAAAATGAAGGAAGCACTCACCCCCACACCCACACCCATAATCGGCCGACAAGTATTTTCCGATAGAGAAGCATCATTTTTCCTTAGAGATCCTTTTCTAAGGGAACTTTCCAATGCATCGGATCATTTACATCAGTAAAGATTCTAAAAAAGAACACTTCATGGAGATGAAATTCAAAGACAAAAAAATCATTGATGATCAGATAATTTCTATCGAAACACCGTGAAGATTCGAATCAATTGTTGCATTTAATCAGTTTTCACTCGGACACATCATCGTCAACGTATTTAGTATTCGAGATCTGTATCTCAGCATAATAGTCACCCCGCCTTGCGAAAAATCTTATTCAAGTACCTATCGTATGAAATTTAACAATCGATCAATTGCAACATGTCGTTAAAAAAATGATTTCTAAATAATATTATAACTCCAATTTACCGAGCCTTGAGACGTAACTTATACGTCATCTAAACATGATATCTGGTGTTCGTGAAAGACCGAATACAATCTCTGTTAATTGTTCTCATGAAGAATTCATACAAGAATCTTTTTTTCTTTTTTGTTTAAAAGTTCCTCGTTTGAACTTCGAGGTCAAAAAGAATCTTGAGTGTTCATCTAAAGAAGTAAGAATTTTGGAAGAATAAGATTAAGAACGTCAATTAGGGACAGATTAAATTGAATTGATTATCAGTGATATTTGAATATTCGATTGATCAGATTGATGATAATGATTTTCTTTGATAAGAAGTTTTTTTCAAAAACTCTAATCAATGATTTGTTAATAAAAAAGAATTTCAAATATAAATGGAAGAAAATAATAATCAATAAAAATGAATCGATGTTTTAATGAAAAAGAAAGATGAAATAATCGATTTACGATTGTTCATGAAGACTTCGGCATTCAAGTAAAATTTCATATTGAAATAATTGTTTACTATTTGGAGATAAATCTTATGACAAATGACAAGACCTCCGAGAATCGATTAAATTAGTTGATTCAATTGTTCTTGATCACTTTTTGGAGTAATTGTAAATTTAATTGAAGAAATCATTTCTTTATATTCGTATTTTAATTGATTTTTGTTTTTCCATTTTTTATAGTTAAATTTTCACAGTCTAAATCTTGTTTTTCCTCTTGAGAAAGATTATTTAAATGAACTTGTCCAACAACACGTTCATCTTCTCTAAGAGTAAGATTTACTTTAGGTAAAAATCGATTCGATTTAGTTCGATTTTTCTTTGAAATTTTCCTTTTTGTGCTTGTTTATGAAAATAGATTTGTAATCCAAAATATTTTTCTAATTTAATATTTGCTTAAACAAATGAAAGTGAAAATATTGAACATTATGAAAGAAGAAATGCTTGATCAATTGAATACCAATAAAGTACAACTAATTCTTCTTCAACTTGAATTATCGGTGCTACGTCACAACAACCATCACAATCACAGATTGATTTCATCCAACAAAATCGAGCCATCATCGGACGATGTCAATTTGATAATTGTTGAAGATGTGAACGTCACCACCAAATAATTCTGTACGTTTTATTTGATTGTCTCGTTAAGAAGAAAAAGATTGGTTTTTGATTTGAATTAGATATGAAAGTGTAACTTGTCCTTGTTCTTTTAAAAGAAAAGTTACTTCAGTCCCGTCTTCTTCAGGTATATGAACATATTCAATTTGATCATGCTGATCACGAATATATCGATCTGTTTGAATATCTTTTAATAACAAATCATTTGATCGAATAACTTGACAATCAATTGGTGTTTCTTATCAATGACGAAGATAACCTGTTTGATTTTCTAAATTATTTGCTTTTGCTACGGCATTTTGACTAACAACATCAATATCTTCAACACTAAGACTTCCTTTTATTATTTGATCAAATACTTCATGTGGAAAATACGTTTTAAAACTATGCACAAAATCAAAAGCAAATAAATGAGCATTTTCTTCTATTTCTCCTCTCACCTTTAGAGCAGAAAATTCTTCACGAATTTCGCTAAATGATGGATAAATACGAAGTTCAGTTCATGATGGAAAGATTTTCTCATTCTCTTCATTTGATTTCAAATCAACAGACATTCTTACCACGTCAAATAGAAATTAAAACAATCGACATCATTTTCAACAATTTTTTCTTATCCTATCAACAGTTTCTTCACAATCAAACAAACAATACTTGTTCTGTTTTGTCTTGGATCAAATGATAAATTTGAAATAGAGACACTCGATAACAAAACAAAAGAAAAAAAGACCCTGATAAAAACTTTGCTGTCCTGATATCATCATCACAAATTCAAAGATAAAAATGTTAATGCAGCTGAAATGATTCACGTCCTAGCAAACGAAAAAAAAACTTGATTTTTTTCATCGAATATCAAATGAGAAATTCCACTGATTCTACATTATTTTATATAGAACATTTCACACGTACGCTTCAAATAAAATTTCATTTATAACAAAGGAAAATAAAGATGGACATCTTTTAAATGTAGTCAAATGAAAGTGAGATAATATTACGCAATGGCTGTAGTTCAAAATTCAGAATACGAAAATGATTGAGTGACGAAAAAAATAGGGCAACTTGAATAAAAAATTCATGGTTGAATGGAAATATATCTTCTATCAGCAAATACGTAACATAATTAAATACTGTATCTGAAAATATGTTGCCAATATCTTCGCGGCGATCAAATACAAAAGGAAGTGAGAAGATATGGCATAGAGCTGCACGGCTACTGATATAATTTATGCTACTAGTCATTGGTTGTTGTCTAATATTTGTAACAATTCGTTGATTATCTTGACTGGGCACATAATTAAATAAATCAACAGTATTATGATAAGTAAAAATATAAAAAGTGAATGAATGCAGTTGTGGCATATAAACAAAAATTTCATTTTCAAGATTAGTACTGCCGATGAATGTATCTCGATCTTGTACACGAAGATATAAAGTTAATTTTTCTAAGTATGACATACGATGAAGAAGAGGTAAAATTTTCTCATCCTATTGATGAATTGGAAGATAGTACTGAATGAGAAACATTTCAAATCAGATAAATCATCCTACAAAATAACAAGAAATTTTGTAGATATATATTTCTTAATTGATTTAAAAAACTAAATAACGCGTACAATAGAGTCATGCAAGGTAAGATTTTTTCGTACCCTCACCCTATCTTACAGTGATTTTCGTACCCTATACCCTACAGCTTCGTACCATAATCCTACCCTACCCTATAAATTTTGTGTCATCTATTCTACCGTACCCGTATATTTCCATAATTTGGTACATGCAACATGAGGCTTTTTTATTATTTTTCTTGGTATGTATTGATTTTCAACCATAACCAAATAGAAGAAGATCAGATATTTCGAAAATTTCGTAAAAGTAAAATATCATGAGCAATGTCGTCGCTTAAGGTCCCTGTCTTTCACAGTAGATTTTTCCCTCACAATGGTGCATTGGAACTGAAATTGTTAGAGATGAGGGATTCAAGTGAGAGCCATTTCTAGTAAAACTTTCAGCCCGATATGTCATACCCGACCGAACTTTCGGCTTATTTATTGTTCGTTTATGCTCTTTCGGAGCATCGTTATAAACTCATCATCTCGAGAGTTACAGAGCTACTGGAATGAGGATCATTAAACTCGAAACTTGAATGTAGTTTCTCGTGGAAAAAAATTTGAAATTCACTTCAGCTAATCTGTTATGATGATTTTTGTACAAAGCATTCAAATAAACAAAAACATTTCATTGCACAAAACTAAATCTTGTTATTCTCACTTAGACTTTTCAAGTCAAAATAAAATCTAGTTTATAACTTGAACCGAGTGGAAGTTATTTCTATTCTCTGATTAAAAAGTACGCTCTGAGAAAAACGGTAAATAGGTTGAGATATAACTTTTTTTATTGAAATCCAGAAATGAATGCATATACATAATATGTATAAGGGGAGTTTTTAAAAGCATGCAACATATAACGTAAGCTAGCATCATGAAGCGTGCTTAAATTATATAAGAATGTCTACTCAATACTAATGCAAATAAAAACACAGTCTTCTCGCAACTAAATCGACTTTAAAAAAAAGCAAGAATTTTCTGGAAAAGGCTGCAATATACTGGAAATTGTTTTCGGAAGTCTGTTAAAATTTAGAGAGAAAACTTCGATGCGTCTTTCTCTGATAACAACTCAGCTTCGATTATTTTTCGAAGCAGACATTTTCTGAGAATCGGACGGACTCAAATTTTATCTTCTCTCTCTCAAAACATTCAGTCGTGAACATTTTAAAAAAAGTTTTTTTCTGAATAGTTCCATACAGACTCTTCTTTGTTAAAATTTTATTCTTCTTTAGCGTAAACACAAACGTATTTTATTAAAATAAAACAAATAGTTTTTATATTGTATCTATTTGTTGTTTTACTAATAAATATCCTCCGAAATTTACTAATAGTGCATGAATATGTTGTGGTCAAAATTAAAATTTCAAATTTTACTAGGCGAAATTGAAATTTCTTTTTTGATGAATACACAAAGATAAATCTTAATAAAAAATGGTGTGGATATGGTGATTGTGGGCTTGAGTCTACATAAGACTACAAAAAATCGAGAATGGATTTGAGATTTAGGACCAAGAACCTTGGAATTGGGTTTCTTCTTCGAAGCATGGATTTGCTTTTGAACCAAATCCATATAAACAATTTGCAATTTGTGCGACCATGATCAAAACACAAACTATTTGTATTGTTTTTGTCCAAGACCAAATTCAAATCACAAACTATTTGTATTGTTTTTGTCCAAGACCAAATTCAAATCACAAAATATTTTTCTTGTTGTGCCCTTCCCTAGTAAAGTAGATTATTGTTAATGTTACCGTACCTTACCAAATCCTTTGAGATGTCACTCATTTAAATCCAAACTCAAATCTTATGTCAAAGCCAAAGCAAATAATCAGGGGTCGCAGAAGGGGGATATGAGAAAGAAGGAATTTAAGAAGGAATTTTTCAAAAAAAAAGAAGGAAATTTGAACAAAAGAAGGAAAGAAAGGAAAAGAAGGAATTTTCCAGGAATAATGCGCTGCAACGAATAAATTTTATACGATCGCCAATAAGAAACGATACGACTGCGGTGAGGTGAGTAAAATAGTATTTGAATTATTATTTGGCCACGTTGCAAGACCGTTCTCTTGCTTTTATAGCGAATACGAACAGAGAACGAATTTCAAAGACGAACAGTTTTCTCCTTGGTCCTGCGACGTGCGTGCATGTTGTTGTCATCCCCATATATCAATGACTCTCTCGGTAGTTTTACAGGTCGCGCACATCCCTCATTAGAGTCTGTCGGGTCCTATTCGAGCCCGGATCAGGACCCTGCTGGGTCTGAAAATTTCGCGTTAACCAGGTCCGGGTTCGGGACTTGAAAGTTTTGCTGATCGGGTCCGGCTTGTGTCCGGACGTCAGATCATTTGAAAAATTTGTACAGTGTGCTACTCGATGAACACAAAAGATCAAAAAAAGTATCTCGTTTCTTCCTAACGACTATCAAATTCGGATTAAAAAATTTCATTAAAAGTACTACGAGTACGGCTCGGGTCCAGACTCAGAAAAGAATGATCAATCGGATCCGGGTCCAAGAATTTTGATCAACCTGGGTCTTGATCTGGACCCCAGCCCAAAAAAGTTTAATCGATCATGTCTGGGTTCGAAAATTCTTGGATCCAACGGGCTCTATCCCTCGCTTGCATGTATTGCTATGCCGTGTAGCAATCACGAAAATTCGTGTATGATCAAACCTATCCGTTGATAGGGCGTCAGAGATATGCAGCAGCATCCTCGTTTTGTCCTTGAAAAATAGACAACACAATGCATAGTAGCTACTTCTATCGGCCACTTTTATACATAACGGGAGTGGGACAAAGGGCTAGTCTAAACACATCGTTCTCGCCTAGATACGGCGAGTTGAAGGTGATTCGAAGTTAAGTTGACTGGTTAACTTCACTTTTAGCGTTGAATGCTGAATTCAACTAGAAATCATCTTTAAACTTGTAAAAAGATATTTTCCGTCATCCGATATTTCTGATATATCCCACTTGGATTGAGATGCCTTATGACTTCTTCGATTCAGATACGCTTTTTCGGTTTCTCGTTCGGAATAGGTCTCCTATGTGATTTTTACATCCTCCATCGAATTGTATTAACTAGATAAATTTCCAGTTCTTTGATCGATGTACACTGTTCCAGATACTTTTCAAGGTTTTCTATCGATATAGAGTTAAATTGTGACTTATGATTTTTTTCGACCAGAAAAGTCAAAAGTCGTCTCTGAAACCCGAACTCGATCGAAAAAGTTAAAAAGCATATTAAAAACTACAGCTCGAGCGGAGAAGTTCAAATTCATGTCTGGCATTGATTGATCAACTTAAATTGCGTAGAAAGCTAAACGTTGATTTTGGGTTGAACTGAAATTAACTTACAATGGAACGGTCTGTACTGATAAGCTAGCCGGAGGACCCCGTGTGGTGCAAATGATCACACTCATTGAGAAACTCATGAATTTAAAATATGAACTGCTGATGGCTTACCCGAGCAGAGATATTCAGTTTTTAAGTTGTGCATTAATAGAGTATTGGAACATAATAATATATGAAATATCGACATCAGCTTTTAACATAATCATCAGATTTGCTAAGAAGTGCATTTCCAAAATCAAGATAAGATCTACTTACACTATTTAGATTAATCTAGCTATGATCTCTATTGAGCTCTACAGTATTGAGTACAAATTATATCGATTATTATATAGAAAAATTCCTAAATTATCTATAGTTTCGACTTCATTTTTTGATAAATTATGTATAATAACATTTAAAAAAATATACTATAAATGGAGATGAAGATCTTCAATCAAGTGGTAATAGCAAAGATGTTTGTTGCACCAGGCACAGGTTAGAAGAGTTCGTTCTTCACAACGGGCAACTGAACAATAAAGGTTACAAAATTTAAAACAAACATCCTTTGGTTTTTTGATTTCACCAACTGCTGCATGGAGTATATGAGCTCGCACGAATCCAGACTTAATGAGATCTTTAAATTGTGGAGAAAATAATTGATTGTGAATGATAGAATGCATATTGATGAAATATTGGCGATCATTCAAGTTCATCTCTGTTTGATTGATATGGATGTAATGTTCAATTTTCTTATGAATAAATCGCCAGGCACGAAACAATGATAGATCTTGTAGTTGAATATGACCAGTAGATCCTTGAGGAAAAATTAATAATTGGCTGTCTTGATGTGGAAATACTGCTCTAAATTTTCTTAGATCAGTGTGAGTTGTCCAACAATCAAGAAAGAAAAGGAATTTTCTATCAACCAAAGGGCGTAGAACTTCATCTATAAATGTGCGATGTTTTTCATCGCTACTTTTTCCAGATTTCGAAGCTCGTACGACAACATTTGGTGACACCGTTAGATCCTTCCGTACTGTTGCACCGAATTCATTTTCTTTTTCTTGCAGAATAAGAAAGAATTTACCTAGTAGTTTACCATCAGCTGATGTAATAGGCTGCACTGTATAAGAGTGTGTTATATTATTTTTCTTTTTAACAGCAACTTCGGTTGTTCTTTCACCAGTAAACGATAGGGTTCTTGGAGATATATATTCTTTTTGAAATGAACAATGATCACTATTTAAGATTTGATGAGGAGAATAATTCAAAATCAGAGATCTTTGATTCTTGATCCAATTATGGGCATCTAAAGCAGACATGTCAAATTAAGACAAATGTATTAGAATATCAAGTAAAAATTTACAGACCTTTCAAACTACAAGGTTTTCTGCTTGAAGAAATCCGTGTAACAAGTTTCTTGTACCTTCTTGATGAAATCCCATATTGTCTCTTGAATCGCGTAATGAATGATTCACTTGCTTCGAAATTATTCCAACCTAGTTCTCTTGCTTTTTGAATTGCATAA